AGGTCACATGTATTTGTGGCTCCCTCTGCCTAGAACACTGTTCCCCCAGATCTGCACAAGCTGTATCCTCCCCAAGTACCTCCCTATGGGGAAAAGGCAGCAGCATTCTCTCCCTTTTCTCCACCCTGTCTTTGAAGAGCATTTGCCTTTCAAGCCTCACCTGGAAGGTGTAGAAAACTCCTGCTGGAAGATGTCCTCCAATTTCTCATTCTAAGAGAGGCCTTTCTGCGCCACCCAATCTAAAGCCCGCTCCTCCCAGTCACTCTACTACATTACTCTGTTTTAATTTATGTATTTTCATTCCATAGGAAAAGGAGTTTTGCTTATTTAATACTGTATCTTTGCTGCCTAGAACAGTGTCTGGCATACAGTAGACGTTTAATTAACATTTGAAAGACTGAATGAGTGGGGTCAGGGGATGCGCTCATAGAAAATAGAACTGCAGCTTCTTTTAAGGTAAAGTGTTACACAAGTAGATATAAATTGAAAACTCACGTTTTTGGTCCACCTTTTCACCCCATCATAACCCTTGGTACGGAGTTTATCATAGAAGAAACTGTTGAAGAAATGCACCTGTCCCAATGACACAAAATAGCTGATGGAATTAAAAGACCTCAGCCCCTCCCTCTAGATCGCCCACCCATTCACACCTCTCATTCCAAACAGTCCACTCCATTTCACTGTGGCTGAAAGGGCTAGTTTCAACAACCCCCACTCAATTCACTTAGGGAAAAAAAACAAATGATTGCTTGTAATCTTATTGCTATCTACTCCAATTCTTGGGGTTAGCCATAGGGGAAGAACACTGAAGACTGGGGGGAAGGAATAGAATTGAGAAATTCAGGGCCAAGATTATGCTTTGTATTTAACAAATTACCATCTGCCACCCTCCCCCTGCCAAAACAAAACAAACCTGAGGCCCTGGTTATGTAAAATGGAAGAGAAGAAAGGGACTGAAAAAGCACTTAGAACTGAAAGGGTCCTGGGACTGAAGGGCCTGGTTGGGCCTACCTTTTCGGGGACTGTGTCCATGACCAGGTCTCCGTACATGTTCATCACCTGGGGAGAAGATTGGAGGCAACTTGCCATGGAGGGTGCGGCATGGGCACAGGGCTCCCCCAAGCAGAGGGCCCCAGACACCCTGCTCCCTGAATCCCCTCTTGGGCCTGTTTCTCCACCCCTTCTTACCTGGTCATTGAGCCAGTTCTGTCCATACAAGGTCCCCAAGTCATCCATGGTCAGCACATGCCGCTTATAGGCCACTCGGAAGCCCCTCACCATGGCATTGCCTGGCATCCGCTGGTAGGACTGAATCAGCTGCAGCACTAGGCCCTTCCTGAGTAGGCCAAGGGTGGAGTCACACGAGAGGAGGGGGCTGGGGCACACAAAAGTACCTTCTACTGCCTAGAACAAGAGTCTAAACTGATTCATTGGTTTTTGGTCATGAGTCCTTTTAAGGAACTGCTAAAGGCTCACTCCCCAGAAAGAGGAACATGAATACTTAGGTATGCATATGATTTCAAGATCCCACTAAAGACCCTCTCAGTTGACTTACAGAGACTTGGCACCTTTCCTGCAGAGTCCTCCCCTTCAACTCAAGCTGTATCCTCCCCAAGTACCTCCCTATGGGGAAAAGGCAGCAGCATTCTCTCCCTTTTCTCCACCCTGTCTTTGAAGAGCATTTGCCTTTCAAGCCTCACCTGGAAGGTGTAGAAAACTCCTGCTGGAAGATGTCCTCCAATTTCTCTACTACCTCATCAGTGCTGAGGGGGATGAGGCTGCCATAAGTTTGAAGGAATTCATCCAAGATGCCTGAGCAGAGGAGGGAGAGAGAGAGTAGGGTGAGGCCTCCAGACTCCGATCTACGAGTCCGCGGAGGGAAAGAGCCTAGGTTCTCTAGGGCGCCTTACTCTGCACGCAGGTCACGTGCTCCTCCCTCAGGGGGCTGTGCTGGCCAGCTTTCTCCCCAGGATGCTCTGCCTCTTCTGCAGTACCCAAATCTGAGCCCTGAAAAAGCTCCTGGGCCACATGGTCCCCGATGCTGCACACATTGCTGATGAGGATGCTGGCATCAGGGGGTGCCAGACTGCGCTCCCCTTCTGGCCCAGGTGGTCCCCCAAAGCCATTGGGCAGAGTACACGGGAGGAGACCTGTAGGAGAGGAAGAAAAGAATGGGGATGAGAAATTTACCCAGAGCAAGAGGCAATGGCAGGATTAAATGATGCACACATAAAAGACCACAAGAAGAATGAATTGAAACATAATAATACAGGCCTGAAAACACAAGATGAGCATGTGCAAAAAGTTATGAAGAGACAGAATAAGAGCTACCTACTCACAAACAAGAGGAAAGCAAGAAAAGGTTAGGATTCAGAGAGATGTAAATTTTACAGATATCTATCACCACTGTATGCCCAGCACTTAGGGTAACGCCTAGCATATCGTAAAGGCTCTACAGCTATTTGAATACTTAATAAAGATGTAAAGGGCCTGACATTACGATTGCCTGGGTTTCTCTGAAAGGGAAATGCTCTAAGAATATCATGAACAACTATACAGGTTGTGTACTGCACTATTAAGAGCAATCCCACCCACAGACAAGAGACCGGTGCCCTCTGGAGATGCACACACAAGGGCCCTCATACAGCGAGGCTGAGGGGGGATTTCAAGTGGACAAGACTGTCTGATTTTTCAAAACCACGAATGAATCCCTTTCTCACCTGTGTTCTAGGCCACAGGACATCTGCTTAGGGATTGTGCTTCCCCAGGCTTAATTCCTGCTCCAAGTGGGGCTTAAGACATTTCATAGCTATCCTGGACTCCTCACTCAGGATCAGTTCTCACCACAGCAAGAGGATCCTGCTGCTCCAGGCTCTTAGCTCTCTTCCCTCTCCCCACCACCTCCTTTCCCATCTTACCTGAGTCAGGGTCCAGAGGAGACTCTGGAGTCCACCTGAGTCCATCTTCTTCCACGGGGGGCCCAGAGGGCACTGGTGGAGACCCTCTCACCCCATCCTCAGCCATGAGAGCACCTAGCAGACCTAGCCGGGGTGGGGGTGGCCCCCGGGGGGAGCCAAAACGACAGCAGGGGGATGGCGCCTGTGGTGTTGCGCCCCCTTCCTGGGGTGAAAGATGGTTCTTGGGGTGTGTGAGGCCCCGCCGCCGGCCCCGGTGGCGCCCCCAAAGCTTCCAGTGGAATGTCAGCGAGGTGCTTTTTGAGTAGAGCAGCATCCGGAAGGCCCTCATAGCTCTTCGGCGGCGCTGTGAGCAGGTTTTTCGATGATTGGGGCGGTGAGGGCGAGGCCGCTGGGAAACTCCCAATTGACCCCATCTGGGAGGCAGCCTCCAAGCTGCCGCTTCCTCCTCCTCATCTTCATCCTCCTCTTCCTCTTCCTCTTCCTCCTCTTCACTAGCTGAGGCATCAAAGGAGGGCCGAGGGACAGGGAGGCATCTAGCTGGCACTGTGGTCCCTGCCCCAGGATCTGGCCCAAACCCTCCACCTGATTTGAGTCGGGGCTTGGGGGGTGGGGGCCAACGAAGACGTTCCCTCCTGGGGCTGGAGTAAGCTGGGGCTATGCCAGGTCCCGGAGGCTCAGGCCCCCAAGACCCAGTCCCTTGTATAGTCTCTTTCATCTTCCAGTAGCCTGTAAAACAAAGGTCAGAGTCTCAGAATCAAACATCCTGCACCCCAGATCCTGCCTCCCTTCTTCAGCATGCCTTTCCTGTATTCAGATGCAAATAAACTAAGGAAGGAGAAAAAATGTAAAATTCGTAACTTCAGATCTTCCAGTTAACATGGTGTATGAAAGATCATTTAGAGACTGTGCCATCATCCCTCCTCTACCCAGGTAGAGGCAAGGGAGAATGGTTAAGCAGCAGGCCTCAGAGATCTTCTCAGATCCCTAAGTCAAACCCAGTGTTTCCTAGCTGTATTTTAAGAGCATCAAGTATGTCGTTTGAAAGCCAAATAATGGTGTTATGTTCACTAAGACGGCTCAGCGTGGGAATCCTGACACGGTACAGAGATACGAACCCAACTTCCACAGGGAAACCATGGGCTACAGTGGAAGAGAGTTCTTCTCTACCACCCTGCGATGAATGGGGAGTGTGGGAATGCTGAGGTACTTTCCGGAACGAATAGGAATGCCAGGGTTGTGATTCAGGATACAGAGTCTGATGAAAGGGGAAGGATTTTGAAGGAAAGTGAAAGGGAACCGAATCGGTGCTAAGGCAGCAGAAGCAGGGGATGGAGCGGAATTGAGGCGCACGAGCGAGCCTGTCCCAGCTTCCCTCTTGCCCCGTCCTCGGGCACCCGAACGCGTCCCAGCACCGGTATGGTCCTACAGGATAGGACGGCTCGGAGCACAAGGGCCTTAAGAAGCCCCTTCGATGGGCCTCCTAGGCCCTGGTTAGGTGAAAGCGAGGTATCAGAACGGGAGAGGCCGCACGGCAGGGATGGGGGGAGGGGGAGGGGAGTCCTCACCGGGAGCGGGGAAGCCGGAGAGGACGGGCCGGAGGGCGGGCGTCTCCGGCCTCAGGCTTCCCGGCTCATCTCTCCGGCGACGGTGGCGGTGCCGCCACTCCTGCTGTCTTCAGGCGCAACCGCCTCAATTCAGGATTCCAACGATCCTTGGCCGCGCGCCGCGCAGCCAAGCCGCCCCGCCGCGGCCGCCTCTTGCTCTGCTTCAGCCTCCACCTCCAATATCTCCCCCTCCTCCTCCTTCCCCTCCCGCGAGCCCCAGGCCCACCGGCAGTGGCGGCGCACGATTAATACGTCACACGCCGCGAACAGCGCCGGCGCGAGCACCACGCGCCTAGTCCCGCCTACTCAAGGACGTAGACGCCACGGGATCGTCCCGCCCCCGAGCCTCAACCGACGGCTGCGCCTGCGCACACCCGCTGACTTGGGCCGCCAGCACCCGCGCCCCCTACTCGCCTTTTTGCGCCTGCGTGACGCAGTTCGCCTCACGTCCCGCTACGCAGGCCTACTTTCTCTGCGTTTGTGGTTCTGATCCTGGGACCGCCCGAATACCTTCGTCCAGTGGGACGCGCGAGAGGAAAGCTGGGAGGACAGGGAAATGCCGGTACAGGAGTAGGACTGAGGCGAGGCAGTGGGGGAAATGAATCCGGAGTCTCATTCATTCCCTTTTATTTAATTTTGAGCAAGGCTTGAGTAGAAAGGACAGCTCCAAGTAGTAACGCAAGACCAGCACCAGGCCGTGCGATCCATCCAGGGCTCCCGGGGGACCAGTCCTAGCCCAGAGGGGCTTGGAGTGACCTGCCACGCCAGGGGAGTGGAGAGCATGAAAGGCAAAATTTGGGACCCGAAAAGTAATGTGGCTGCGAAGGGACCGTTGTCGGGCACCGCCAGCAAACGGGTGTATAATAAATACACCTCTGGAGATAGGGAGGGAAACATACTCAATAGATGGCGAGGTGGAAATGTATGGAAGATAGTGGCCGGCAAGGTAAGAGTGAGGCTTCTTTAGAGTGCGAAGAGGCACTAGGGGCTTTCCTGAGAGTTGGGAGGGGAGGTTTCGTGGACTTCTGCCAATAGGCAGGATGATTCCCTCAAACTGCCGCTAGATGGTAGTGCTGTTCCGGAAGCATCCAGTGAGACCCATAGCAGGTCTGGATAATGACTGACCCCCTTCCCCCGGGATGGCACATAAAATCAAGATCTTCTAGCTCTTTAATATCCATGAAATCATAGGTCTGGGAGTGGGGGAGGAAAGGGAAAAGGGAGGAACGGAGAGTCATGAAGTCATCCCAGGAAAAGGCCTCTGCTCCTGCTCATTCCCAGTCCTCTGTCTGGTCAGCTGGTTGTCTCCAGCATATACCCACCCTGGTCTTCCAAGCTCAGACCCGCCTTTCATAGCACAGTCATAGTTTCACAAGCCCCAGGAAGGTGCCATGTGGGGAGAGGCTAAGTCTGGCCCCTGCCCGGGGGACTATGACCCTCAGAATATCCCCTTGGTATAAATGGAAGACACCTGAGAAAGGGGAGAAAAAAGATGCTCAGTGAGGCACAGCCATCATCCAGATGCTCTGATGTCTCACCCTCCCTTCTGCAGCTCCACCTTTCCTCTGCTTCCTGCAAGAACCTAGGTGTTCCGTTCTTTCCTCACATCTGCCTCTCCACCCAGGGCTCCCACTCCCATCGTAGCTCCCCACACCAACTCCCCTAGATCAGAGACCCGTCCTGCTCTCTTCTCCTCCACACTCCCCTGCCAGCACTGCTCTCACCTGCACTGTAGCAGCTATTGTAGGCCCGGTCAGGGTTGGAGGGCATACTCCGTACACATCGGAATAGCGTCTCCTCCCTTCCCTGGCCCTCCCGAGATACCACCTGACCCATGGTGAAAGTCACATCATGGAACAGGACCTAGAAGGGCAGCGAGGAGATAAAATGGGATGGCATGGCTCAGGTCTGGGAGGCCTCAGGAGCCCTGATATGCAGACAAGGAATGAAGAAGGGTCTTCTAAGCTTGGTATGGACAAAGGGGCCAGGAACCCTCACGACTGGGGCATCCAGGCTGTGGGAGAACAGGGAAGAGGAGGCCTCCGGACCTCCAGGTGAGGCTCAGGGTATGCCGGTTACCTGGCTATACAGCAGATAAATTCCAGCCTCCCAGACTCGGACAACATATCCTCGGGCCTCCAGGCCTCTACCACGTCTGAGAGCTGGTTGCCACATCACCTCTGTCACATCAGAGTCTTCTGGAGGTGAGGAGTGTGGCAGTCAGGATTTCTGCGCACTCTTAGGTACGTGATGGATTCGCTGGGACCCAGATGCCAGCCCCAAATCCGCCAGTGCCTGCCCCTCCCGCAAAGCCATTGTTTAAAATAGTGCTCACCCTTGGAGGTGATGTTAACGGGAACAAGGTGCAGCACCGAGTGCTTCTCTGAGGAGAGAAGAAGAAATCTCAGCAGGGCCCACCCACCCCTGATGCCCTATTCTCATCCCCCCCCAACCCCATCCCATGCTGCTCGATCACCTCCCGCCCCTGCGGCACCCCGGCACCCCGGAGGCCTCACTCTTCTGTTTTGGGGTGAGCACTGCTCTCCTCCTCCGGGATTTCTCCCCATTCTCCCAGGCTTCCAGGTCCTTGGGGCTCTGTTCATGGAAAGAGCGTCAGGGTTAGACAAAGATGCAAGGGTCCCAGCGAGCCTTCCTACCAGCCCTCCCTCCTGCCCCAGGAATGCCTCACTTCTCTCGTGCACCTTTCTCCAGCACCCTAAGTCTTGGTGCTGGCTGTCCTCCAGGATCTGGTAGGTATGAATTAATGTTAAAGCATTAATCTTTAACAGTTTCCTTTCCTGGAACGGCCACTCCCTCGACTGACTTCGAGACCCGGGACCCTCTCTTGCACCCTCTTCAAGCTTTGCAGACCAGGAGACAGGATCGGACAGTCTCAGAAACTCCCTGCCACCCATTCTTCTCTCCCAGACACCCTTCTCCCCTCACTCACCTGCTCCCAGAGGCTGTGCCAGGGCTGCCCATCCCCCTTCCGGGAGGGTCCTCCGGTCCTCTGCAGCCGGCTCACCTCTCTCCTTAGGGTTTGCAGCTCTGCTTGTTGCGTCAGCAGAGCCATAGCGCAAGCCACAGCCCCCAGAGCCGCCCCCCAACTCAACCAGAGAGCAACTGAGAGTGCCGGCTCTCGAGCGGAGCCCCCCATGTCGCCCCGGGGCCCTTTGGGGGCTACTGAGGAAGGAGAGGAGGCCAGCCTGAGCTGGGGATACTGCTGACAGCTGTGGCCTCAGAAGTGGGGTGGCAAGGAGGTGACGGGGAGGATGGGGGTGCGGGCACCGGTGCAGAAGGGAAGAAGGGCGTTACGCGAGGGAGAAATAAAAACAACTTGAGAATAAAAGGAGGGAAGAGGAAAGTAAGCTAGGGGTACTGTCTGGTACGCCTGGCACCCCTCTGTGGGGCCGGTGTTGCCTCTGAGACCCCTATCCCCCTCCCCCAGCCTGAGGAGAATCTGGAGTGGGTCTCTCTCGGAAGGACAGGGCTGCCAGTGACACCAAGGGGGAGCGGCCTGAGCACAGGAGCCTGGGGCGGCCCCAGAAGTGGGGGAGGGAGGGCTGGCAGCTCTGGGGCATGGTGCCAGGAGGAGGGATGGAGGGACAAGCTGGGCAGTGTTGAGGGTCAGGGGTGAGGAAAGCAGACCATCTGGTTCCAGTGCAGGGGAGACCTCTGGGGAAGTTTCTACAGGTGACTGAGGTGGGACAGGAGGGGTGTGGGCGGGTGGGGAAGAGAACCAGGGTCGCGGAAGCCAGAGACTAGCTGAGCTCTGGGGTTAAGGCCGGGCCGGGTGTGTTGGAATAAGGCCTGTACTACTCCCTGTGCTGAACTTGGCAAGCAAGAGACTTCCTGTTTCCTGAGAAAAGCTCTTACATAATGCTATGGATGAAAAGAGAGACAGAGACAGCCACAAGCACCCGAGCCACTGTAGGCGTCCTCCCTGGATCCAGGGTCCATGTGCCCGAGTCCTGGGCCCCCTCCAGGCCTGTTCCCACCCCGAACCCCAGCCAGGGCCTGTGCCAGCTCCTGCGGAAGGTCCCCAGGTGGCCAAGAGGAAGGGCCCGGCTCCTCCCAGCCAGGGATTTCCCCGCAGGAAGAAGCCTGCCTCCTAGGCAAATGAGGCCAGTTTGGCAGCAGCTTGGCAGAGGAGATTTCTTCCTGGGCCGTTGGCGTTTCTTCTCTTGGCTCTTGCTGGGGGGACTGGAGGCATGTAAGCCCCACTCCTAGGCCCATAGGCCCCAAAGTCCAGACCCCTTCCCATGGCCCTCAGCTACCCTGAGAATGCCCCTGAGGCCCCAATAAAGAGAGAGGCTATGACTTATTCTCTTTAATATCCACTTATCAACATTTTGTCACAATAATAATAAAAATAATATCTTTTAAAAATCCACAGGGACGCATCAGGGTAGAGCTGGTCTTGGTCTCCTACCCCTCACATTTAGGGACACCTGGCCTCATCCCAGTCTGTTCGGTTTCCTGCCACCAGGTCCAGCTCCTCTTAATGCCTAAAGAGGGGTCCTCCGGACCCATCTTTGCCCACAGAGTACAGTAAACACGGTGTCCTGGGGGCTGTGGTCAGGGTGGGAGTCAGGAGATAAATGGGGGAGTAGGAAGGCCAGGGCTTTGTGAGGCAAAGAGCCCAAGGTGGGGGGCTGTAAGGGAAGAATGGGACTGTGTATGTGGGGTGGTGACAAGTGATCAAGTCCAAGGCCTACAGAGAGGGTGGAAGGGTCTGGAGTGAGGAACAGTTTTGGGGTGGGGCAGAGGAGACTGAGTTTTTGGAGAGCTGTCGTGGGGAGCCAGCAGCTTGGGAGCACCGCGAGACCAGAGCCCCTCAGTGAATTTGGAAGAGTCCGAAGTAGGTGAGGAAGGGGGCAGCCTTGAGATGGGCCCTGGGGAGGGTGCGGATCCGCAGGGAGGACCCTGGCTGCAGGGGCAACAGCCCGGACACCTGGCAGAGGCGCAGCTGGGGCCCGAGGGAGCTGGCCGCCGTGGCGGAGAACTCCTCCAGACAGCGCAGGGCCAGGGCCTCATCCACCAGCAAGTCCAGCTTCAGGTAGACAGCCTTCCCCTCATCAAAGTGCACCTGGGGCAGGGGGAGGGCAAGCAGAGTCCAGGCCTCTGCTTGCCCTCACCTCAATTTCAAATTTCCTTAGAGACCCAGGTATACCATCCCCGCCCCCAGGCCCAAGCTCTCCCTCTCCAGCCTCTAGCTTGCCCCCTCTCTCTCAAGCCAAACTCTTCTCCCTCATTTACTGCTTTGGCCATGGAGCCAGGTGGGGCTTACCTGACAGTACAGGTAGTAGAGCCCAGCCCGAGTGACTGTGAATTCCCCGCGCTGGCGGTCATAGCGCAGCGGGTTGGAGCTGTTGATTTTGGCCTCCTCCCAGCCACTCACCGTCCCGTCCACACCTGAACATCGATGTTCAGAGATAAGGAAAGCTCCCCTACACTCCCCAGGGATCCACTGACTTTATAAACGTTTGGGGCCTGCTTTACCCAGCAGATACATAGATCACCCAGGGTAAAGGAGGGGCCAATCCCCATGGAGCTCAAAGTATAGCAGGAAGTTCTGTGTAGAAATCTAACATGTATACGCTTGAACATGCAGACGAAAGGACTAGAAAGATACAAAGCAAGTTGTCATCAGTGGTCACTTCTGGGGAAAAGAGAAGGATTGAAGAAGTGGCGGGGGGAAGACTTTTATATTTAATATTTTACTTTTATATTTTACTTCATCTGTGTCTATATTGCTTGCCTTTTTGCCTTGAGAATATATTCATGCATTACTTGAATTATTAGAATTAAAAATAAAATGACACCCAAATGTCCATCACTGATGAATGGATAAACAAAATGTCGTATACCCATACAATGGAATACAGTATTATTCATCCATAAAGAAGGAATGAAGTAGTGGCACATGCTACAACATGGGTGAACCTTGAAAACAATATGCTGAGTGCAAGAAGCCAGTCACAAAAGGCCATGTAGTGTATGATTTCATCTATATGAAATGTCCAGAGTAGGTAAATTCATAGAGATAGAAAGTAGGGCTGGGGTAGGGAGGAATGGGGAAATTGGACAGTGAGAGCTAAAGGGTAAAAACCAAACCAGTTGCGGTCAAGTCAGTTCTGACTCATGGTGACCCCATGTGTGTCAGAGTAGAACTGCACTCCCTAGGGTCTTCAATGGCTGTGATCTTTTGGAAGTAGACTGCCAGACCTTTCTTCCGAGGCACCTCTGGGATGATTTGAACTGCCAACCTTTAGGTTAGTAACCAAGCATTTAGTCATTTGCACCACTCAGGGACTCCAGCTAAAGGGTCTGGGGATTCTTTTTGAGGTAAGGAAAATGTTCTAAAATCGATGGTGGTGATGGTTGCACAACTCTGTGAATATACTAAAACCTCTGAATTATACACTTAAAACAGGTGACTTGTATGCGATGTGAATTATATCTCAATAAAGCTGTTACCAAAAAAAAAAAAAATCTAGAGCTAGGGTAATTACAAATTAGAAGGAAAAAAAAAAAAAAAGATGAAGCAGTGTATCAAGTGGCCTCCCAGGTCCTCCATGGTCCACCCTTTTCAACCTCTGCAGTTCAATTTCACACACTTCCCAATTCATGACACTCCAGACACTCTGGCCTTCTTTCTGCACCTGCCACACACCAAGCCCATTTTCCCCTCTGAGCTTTTTACTGCTCTCCCCTCTCCCCAGATCACTCTTCCCTGAGCTGGCACCTTCTGTCCCTCAGGTCTCAGCTGGTCTGAGAAACCTTCTGGGGCCACCAGTTTAAAACAGCCAGGCCCACCCCTGCCTCCATTAATCTCTTCACAGCTCCCTGTTTCTTTCAGCACGGTCACCAACATCAGAAATTATCTCCTTTCTGTATGTGTTCGTTTGGGGTGTGACTGCCCTACCAGGGTAGAGACAAAACCAAAAAACCAAACCCATTGCCGCCGAGTCCATTCGGACTCGTAGGGCAGGGACAACCTTGTCTTATTCACCACTACATACCCCGAGGCGCTAGGTGGGCGCCCAGTAAACACAGCTGGGAAGACACAGGGAATAAGGTGAACACGGCTGGCAGCTTGATCCTCGCTTGGGGCCACAGGCCGTTCCCGGTCCTCCCTGGCTGGGCCTCAAGGAGCCTCTGCAGTTGCCTTCTCCAGCCCCTCTCCCTCTGCCAACCCCAGGGCTCTGTCCTTGTCATGTTTTCAAGCCAGATACTCTCTCTCACTGGGCATTTTCATTCGCACCCATGGGTATACCACGATCTATATCCCGCAGACTCCAGATCCAAGTCTCCAACCGATATTTCCTTTTCTTCCTCTTCCAGCTAACACGGCCCTCTGACTAGCCATGGGCACCTCAAACTCATCCGACCCAAACTGAGCTTGTCTCCTCCCCGTCCCCCTCAAACTTGCCTTACTACTGTCCATATTCCACTTTTGGCTCATAGTCCTCCACCCACTGGGTACCCAAGCCTCCCTCTCCTTTACCAACTTTATTCACTGATCTCTAGCTCTTGTCAATCTTGCCTCCTAAATAACTCTGCCCCGTCTTCCCCACCAGCCTGGTCCCTGCCATTTCTCACTGGGACTCCCTGTTTCCAACCTCACCTCATCCCGGTTATTCCTTACACACAGCCAGAGTGACCGTTCTCAAATGCAGATCTGATCTGCTTCTCTTTGCTTTAATCCTTTGAATGGCTCACCTTAGATTAACTTCAGATCCCATCTGTGACCTGGCTCCTGTCTTCTTCTCCAGCCCCATACCCCATCCTGCCCTTCTAGCACTTTATGCTTCAGCCACAGGGAACTTCCCACAGTCCTCCAGACTCTTGGTAAACTCAGCGCTTTTACACAAGTAGTTCCTTCTACCTGGAATGCCCTTGACCCACTGTCCATCTTACACTCATGCTCAAGGCCCAGGAAAGCCACGTCCTCTTGAGGAAGGAGTCCCTGACTTCCTTGTAAAATGGTTTGTCCTCCTCTATGCCACCATGTATCTTTGGCTGCTTTAATTTTTGTACTTGTAATCTTGTCCTGTGATTACAAATTTATATGCATGTCTCCTCTCCTAGATTCCTTGAGGATAGGTCTGGGTATTCCTTACCATGGAGACCTAGCCCAGTCCCCAACACACAGCAGGATCTCAGTACACGTGTGCCGAGTTGATGATTGAATAAATGTCTGGGGAGCTGCTAAAATAAGTGGTACATACTGAGGGGAGGAAGACTGGCCTGGGAGCAGAAGAGGGAGGACATTCCTGGCTATGGAATCAGGTTGAGCAAAGGCTGGTGGTGGCAGAAGACACCGCTTCTATTCTTACAACCTGGTGTGCCTGGGACACACGTGGTGTCACTGCAGTTTCACAACTACAGACCTCAAGTGACAATTCCATACCGCCTGGCTACCCTCCTACTTTCTTCCACTACACCTCCTTTTGCACTTACCAAGACAAGCATTTTGAACCATCTCTCCTCAGATCTCCTGCCTCATCCACCCAGTTCTCCAGAGGACTTAGATGTCACAAAGCAGGGGCTACCTCATCTCTCCCCATCAAATCCACAAACCCACCTGTTCTCACCTTCTCCTCTGACCCTTTGTAATGATGGTTCTGGATCCCATCCCCTCCCACCTTGGCCATTGCCACTGCAGGTACCCCCCACCTCTGCACCAGCAACCCTGCCTCTCACGCAGACCATGTCTGGTATACAAGCACACTCTAGCTCAGTTTAACTCCTGGCTTCATCTTCATGACCTTGGATAAGTTATATAACCTCTCTGAGACTTGATTTTCTCATGTGTTATTGTTGTTAGGTGCCATCAAGTCAATTTTCTACTCATAGTGCCCAAAGTGACAGAGTAGAACTGCCCCATAGGGCTTTCTAGGCTGTAATCTTTATGGGAGATCACCAGATCTTTTCACCCATGGAGTTAGCACAGTTAGCAGCCGAGCATTTAACCATTGCACCACCAGGGCTCCTTTTCTCCTCTGTAAAATGGAGGAAATCAGAATCTCTTCTGTTGTGAAGATTAGATGAGACAGAACAGGCACCACTGGAAACCACTTGCCACAGCGTCAGTTTAGACTCATGGCGACCCCATATGTGTCAGAACAGAACTGTGCTCCAGAAGTTTCTCAATGGCTGATTTTTTGGAAGTAGAGACAGGCTTTTCTTCTGAGGCACCTCTGAGCAGACTTGAACCTCCAACCTTTTGCTTAGCAGCTGAGCGCACTAACCATCTGCAGGGACTAGAAGACGTGAGTGCTCAGTACCTGTCAGCTAAGATCAATGCAGTATTGCCTATCCCTAAAAGGACAAAACTTTTCCTTGACCCCACATCCATCCCCCTGTATCCATTTCTCTGCTCCTGTCACAGAGAAACTTCTGGAAAGAGTTGTCATGGTCTCCAATTCCTTATCTCCCATTCTCTTCTCAATTCAACGTAAGCTGCCTTCTACTCTAACACAGAAACCGCCTGTGTCAAAGTCATCAGCTGGCTTTTATGTTTCCAGACCCAGTGGTCACTTCTCTGTTCTCATCTCCTGTGACCTCTCAGCCACATTCCACACAGACAGTCACATTATCCTTGTCCTTTAGATTTCAGGACACTGCCCTCCCCTAGTTTTCTTCCCCTCTCTCTGACTATTCCTTCTCAGTCTCCTTGGCTGGATTCTCCTGCTCTACTCTCCTTCAAGAGGTCCAAGTGCCTCAGGGCTTTGTTCTTGGGGCTCTTCCTTTGCCTGGTGTCTCATCCAATCCTATAGCTTTAAATATCATCTATATGGTGATGACTACTGACTTCATAGGTCCTGACCTAGCCCTTGAGCTGGGCTAATATGTCCAGCTATCTATTTGTGGAATTCACTTGTTTATTATTAGGCATCTGAAATTTAATTATTAATTTATCCCTCTCAATCTATTTCTTTCCTGGTCAACTCTATCTTAGAGAAAAACGACATGGTTATTCCCAAAGATGCCCAAGTTAAAAATCTAGAAGTCATTTGTGATTCCTCCCCTTCCCTTACCCTGCACATTCAACTCACAAGCAAGCCCTGCCTCTAAGACACCTGCTGAATCCATCTACTGCTTTCCATCTCCACTGCCAACACCTTAGATCAAGCCACCATTGTGTCTTGCCTCCTGGTCTATTACAGTGGAAGTCCATTCCAGGTGAGACAACAGTATGTGCAAAGTCCAGAAGAGGCACATTGAAGAGGTCAGCACAACAAGCGTGGAAAATGTGTAAAGATGTTCAGAAAATGCAGCAGCAGTGTGGTTGAGACCAGATCATGGAGAGGCTGAGAGTCAAGCAGAGAAAAAATGGAATAATGAGAGTGAAGGTTAGGGGAGCTTAGCCTGGCAGCATAGGTGGGCAGAGCAAAGGGTTGGGGAGAGCCTGGAATAAGAAGGGGCTAGAGGCTGGGTTTCAGGTTCCAAGAGCATGGTGCTGAGGTGGGGGATGAGATAGGGATAGAAAAGAGCAGAGACTAGAAACATTTTGAGGAAAAATGATCAGGACATGAAGACTAATGGAATATGGAGGGGGAAGAAAAGAAAAGAACCAAAGGTGCTCCTTGGAGAAAGGTGAGGGCTGAAGGAGAAACCTGGGGCAGGTGGTTTGGTGGGGGAGTCAACCTCAGTCCTGGGGCCATAGAGACAGGCCAGGTCTGGGGGCTAAGAGAACCAAGCCCTGAGGACTTCGTGAACTGGCTTTTGGGGGCCAAAGGGAGGGAGCTGAAGGTAGGGGTGAGGGGAAGCCAAAGGTCTTGTGGGGCCCCTCTCCCAGAAGACCAGTGCTGTGGGGGTCACAGAGAGCTCAGAGGTAGGGAAGGGGTCTCACCCGCCTGCGCTCGGTCCCGCCCCGGCTGTGGGTGAACTGTAAGACACAGGAAAGGGTTGGTGAGGCCTGCCCCCCAGCCCCTGTGCCACCCCTCCTCCCAGGCACGGCTCACCGTCACCCACCTTCGTAGTGGGCGGCAATTGCTCTGCGAGCCCGGGTTTTCCGGCCTTTAGCTGCTGGGAGTCAAGGAAAGACAGATGGACAACACAGTGCCCTCCAGGGAGCCCGGGAGCCCCTCCTCCAGCCCCACTCCCCTCTCAGGACCCTGACACCCATGTTCTTGTCCAGATTTGTGGCCTCAGAACTTTATCTTCCTCCATAAGCAGAGTGACTAGAGTATTTATTATACAAACCAGGATACGTCTGAGGGCAAAAGAAGTCCTATTAATAATCACACCAAGATAACAGATATAAACCAGGACAGTCCCAGCAGACCAGCATATATGGTCACATGATCATCTCATTCATAGGTCTCTATGCTTATCGGGGTCCAGGCCTCTGACTCCCCCAGCTTGACTCCATCAGGGCCCCAAGGGCTCCCCTAATTCCCAGCCACCCCCCTTTATATCTGGGGTAGGGTTTGAAGTAAGAAGCTGGTCCATATGGTGGAAGGAGCTTCAGAGGGAGGGTCAGAATCCCTTGGGCCCCATCTCAACTGACTAGCTGCATGACTCTGAGCACCCGCCTTCACTCTCTGAGCCCCAGTTTCTCCAGCCAGAAGGGTGAATAGTGGTTTTTGCTCTGCCTGTTGCACAGGACTGTTATGATAAACAAAAGCAATAAAGAATCCAGAAACCACCACAGGCCAGCCACAGTGATTATTCCTGAGCTTGGTGTGGAGGGATGCTCACCATTTCTGCGAGGCCGAGGCCGAGCTAGTCGGTTCAGGAAAGGCGCGGGACCCTGGCTTTCCTCTGCCTGGGGATGCAGCTCCTAGGGGATTAAGGGCAGGGTTAAACCAGCATCTTGCCAAGGACCCCAAGAGACATAAACGGAGACAGACCCGGGCTATCAGAGAGCCACCAGCCAGCAATAGGCACAGAAATCTCAGGGAGAGAGGCATCCTTCATCCAAGTGTAGCTTGGGGCAAAGGGAAGGCAAGGTCCTGGGGTCAGGTCCCAGCTTTCACCCCCTTACCCAGCCAGCCACATTCCTCCTGCCCCCCGCCACCCCCGCCACAGAACCTACTCATAACCTGTGCTCAACTGGCAGATGCACACGCCCCACACCCAGCCAGCGTGCGCAGTGGGTACACACCCTGTGCACACACCAACATCCCTTTTCCACGCTAGCTCACATACTCTCCCACCTCACCCACAGCCAATCAACTCTTCATACTTACTTGGTACAAATTGTACAAACCGGCAGAAACCCCTTACACACAGCTCTCTCTCTGTCTCCCTCTCTCTCTCACACACACACAGCTGGCACATATCCACACATGCACCATGGTCGTCATGCACACCTGCCTTCAAACACCCTGCACACACCACTCACACACCTCGCGTGCCCAGCAGCCTTCTGACAGCATCCACAACCACTCACCCGGGGGTCCTGGTCCTCCTCTGCCACCAACTCTCCCTGGGAAGGCTCCTGCTGGGAAGGAGGCAGTGTCACCCTGCCTTTCTCCACCTGACAGCTCGCCCTCCGCCCAGCCTCTGTCCTCCCTCCTCGCAGGCTCCCTCCCCGCGTGCCCAGGTGCCGTGCAGCGGGGCCTCACCTGGGCCGACGGCGCCGCCCGGCTCCCCAGGCCGACCACCG